GAGAGGAATGTGTCTTCTTAGCAAAATAAGTGAAAAGTAGAATCAAGGCTAGATGGTGTAAGGGCACATCAGGGCACAAAGTGGATTTTCACTTGACTTTACTAACTGAGGTCTTGAGTCTGTAGCTGGAACTGAGTATTTTACCATGACCTTTGAAGAATGGAAGATCTTTAAAGGAGACTGCAAGTATCTATAAGAAGCTAAATGCTCTTCAAGAATAAGGTGATTTTGCTGTTGCTGACTTTAAGTGCCCATGTTTTGCATCAGAACATCTAAAACAAATGTGTCTGTGCTACCAGGATGAGTCAGAACACCTATCCTTCTTCTGCAGTCAATAGAGAGATGAGTATTTGTTTCTTAAAGTGTTGCTTACCATGCCGAGTGGAAAGCTGTCTAGAGCTAGTCAAAAGAAATGCTAATTACCAGAGAGAGACTGAATCCCTGCTTACCACCTGAGTCAGATCTGCACTTGGTGCACCTCTGTCCATTGCTGTCCCTTTAATCCTGAGTGATGAGTCCTTGACTAAATCAATTTGTGTCTGTACCCTGTTTGCAAAAGAGCCTCCTGTCAGACCACTCATTCAAAGAGCCCCTGTGAGGTGTGCCCTCTACTTCAGCATGCAAGATTCAAGACCACAATTCCTACTTCTCCAGTGAGGCCACACTGCAGAGAGAGAAAGTTATTCAAATATAAAAAGGAGTGGAGAAAAGGCATGCTAGGTCAACTAAACACACATCTGCCTTCCTCTAACTGCATTGGTTAGGTATCAATATTTTACATGTAGGAAAACTAAATTAGGTGTCCACAATCTCATGCTGAATTCCATCCTTTTGGCTGGACTCAGCAACCTAAACCTAAGTGTCCATACATATATTTAAAGTATTATCTTTAGGAGACTTGGGTCAGTCATTTCATACTATAAATCTGTATAATTAACTAGATTGAAGTATTTTACTCCAACTTCCCTGTTTTAGGAAAAGCTATTGAAGAGACTGCATGGTAACAGCATAGACTGGCATTCATCCTATTCTGTTGTCTACAAATAGTGCCTAAGGATAAGAGATACTCAATTGCTGCAGCCAACACCTTCTCCCTGAAAATAAGTTTGTTTTTGTTTCCTTAATAGGTGCTGCTCTAAAACTTATTGAGCTAGATGGACGTTTGTCCTCACACAGCAGATGCTCTCATGTTCTCTAGGTAGAAATTAGTTGTGGTAATAAATAAGAAATGTGTTATTTTATTAAAAAAAACCAGATATTATCATGTAACATTATTTTTCAGTACTCTATTCTTCAGAGAAAAGCATGTTACTAATACGATTTATTTGCTTGAAGGCCTTTTGTTACTTTTCAGGATATTATATTCAAATACAAACATTGATGCTTTACAGCCTTTTAGATTTGCCAGTAGTAGATGAATTATGGCTGGGTAGGTATGACAAACTGATGATTAATATCAGAATTTCGAGTTGTATCTAAGAATGAACAGATACTGAGAATTAAAAACCTGAATGTACAGTCACCTTGACCACTTCCGTAAGCCTTGAGGTCTCCCTTTAAAAACTACTTTTCAGCTTCATTGTGTTCTTGTCAAGGGAGATAGCAGATTCATAAACTGCAGTAATTGAAACCAGTGCAAATTTCTTGAGTATGACTAATCGTTACCATTTCTTACTGAAAATTCACTTACTCCCAGCCAAGATTTCATTAATTTTAATATGAAAACATCCACACCTATCATTTCTTCCCTGAGGTCTTCCTAGGCTGCTGCAGAAATTGAATCTGACTTCTATTGCTTTGGCTGGAACTGAGGAAGTGAATTCCTCTGGCTAATTGCTTTTTGGATAACCTACAAAACTCCAGGGGTCAGATTCTTGGCCTGGTAACATTGCTTTGCACTGCTCTGGCTCGATGCCACGGTTCCCATCAGAGGGATTCCCAGGTGGAGAATAGTACAAAGTTAGGGTATTCCTGACTTCAGACACCCACATTTTGTCAGCTGCTGCTGTGCAGGGCAATAAAAGTGATCAGCCTTAAAGCTGCTCAGAATTAAATGAAGGGTTAAAGTGGCGCACAGGAGGATGCTGCTGCCCAGCTAAAACTTTGCTCTCACTTGATCCTCAAGTATGAAGCATCTGGTGACTTAATCAAAGATATGGGATGGATATATATTCTAAAACATTGACCAGGCATTTGCTCCCCTGGGAAACAGTTTTTTAAGTTCTTGCTAGTTTTGTACTGCCTAAGCCAGTGCAGAAGAGAGCACAGACCTGCACACATGCACTATTTGTGTGTGTGCTCCTGCACACACCATGAAGACCTTAGGCTGCCCTTTCTATCTGTGGCAATTAGGGAAAACCAGAAACCTAGCCACTGTAACCTTTGCCTATCAACAAAGCTAAAGTACCACCATCTTGGATATATCCCTCCAAAAAATGTCAGCATGGAATTGTAAGGTTGATTTTGCACAATGTCTGTGCAAAGTGACATAGGAAATTGTTCAGCTGCATCCAGGAAGATGAAGAAAAGGAAGAGCAGATGTCTAAGTGATTGCTGACCTGCCTCTTATCCTCCTTGTCTGATGCTATTACATAAAATCTGTAGAGTAACATGATATTTGACTGAATGTACAGGCAAATATCTCTGAAAGGTGTATTCTGCCCCTTCAGTGCAACAGCCTAACCCTAAAACCAGTTGTTTTGACAATTGCCATTTGATGATGCTACACAGAGGACTTTCCCCTATCATATTAGGCTGATCTTAACAAGAAGAAGAGGCATGTGTGGAGTTCTCCATCCATGTAACCAGAAAGTTATTTCTTATTCTACTAGAGAGCTCTAGTCCCTGTGCACATAGTTTGGTGAACATGGGGATGTTGTCCCCAAAAAATGTACTACCACCTGTCATCTGTTTATGTGGCTGATTCTTTTCAGTAGTGACATGAAAAAGAGTAGATTTGTGGCAAAAAGGTAGAGACAAAGTGTTAATGAGCAGCTAAGGTGCTCACAGAGCTGGTCTCTAGGACCTCTAGGAGCTCTACTCCCACTCCATGGATCCCAGGGGTTTTGAATCTAGTGTAGGTTCCAAGCTGCAGATTGATGAGGGAACACCCCCACAAACTTTTCCTTGAAAATCAAAGCTTCCTCGCTAACCAGAATCTTTCTAAATCAATAACAACATCCCCAACCCATAAAAAAAAGAAAACCATTGTCAGTTTTTAGTCAACAGCCAAAAAAAACCCATACCCCAAACCTGAAGCATTTGTTACTTTTCCAGGAAACATATCGACTCTGGGTTTTGTGAGGGAAAGGGCAGTGTGGTTTTACACAAGAGTGTCCTGCTCTCTCGAGCAGCCAGGCCATCAGTCCCCCTGTGCAGGAGAAACACCCAGCCATGGCTGTGGGACCCCTCCGTCGGCCCGGGCTCTGGCTGATGTGCTCTAGGGGGAGCCACATCTGTCCTTGCTCTCCGGAATGGAGGTCATCAGCCTGTCAAGCTTTCTAGGAAAGAGGGAGTGGCTGGGGAGGCTTGAGTTACCGAGCGTGGACCACCTGGAAAATAGTGTGCAGTGAGTACTTGTCCTACCTCTAGACACACCACAGTAAGGAGTAAGGGATGCTGAATTGTCTTTGAATTCCCACCCAAGTTTGCTTTGAAGAGATGAAAAGGCAGGCAAGTAACATGCATGTTCTGTTATGAAAAAAATGGCAATAGCATTTCTGAATTTTAGTCTGTAATAGAGGTTGTCTTGGATTACAATATTTGGATCTAGATTTGAAACACATAGATGTCTGAGTCTATTTTGGGATGGAGACTATTTGCAAAGCTTGAATCTTAACCCAGGTTCTGGGTGAGATTACCCTGCAACTTTGATGTATTTCTAGCTAATGACAGAGAAGAAAGGAAAAAAATTAAATTTATCTCTGCATTAGAGACAAAGCACATTAATAATGCTGCCACTATTTAATGATTGGGGAAAAAACCCTGGTCTTTTAAAAGGCAAAACTGGGAAATAACTATATTTTATTTTAAGAAATCAGTGTCATAAAAATGATGGCTATAAAATACAGAGCAGCCTGAGCCCTCTGCATAAAACCTCTTGTATTTTATGCCACCTTTTCTATTTCAGGTCTTCATTTGCCTAATTACTACTCAGAGGCTGGCAGAGAATTTCCCTGCAGCTCTCATCTCTGCTGACTGCAGAGACCCTACCTGGCACACACTTACAGTGCGTCAGCATTCTAGGTGGAAATGAATGAAAAATCAATCAGGGCAGCTGCAGTGGTAGCATATACAACTCTAACCTACTTTGTCCATGGTTATGAGCATTTCATTATGTGTTTAGGCATCTTTTAAAATGGTAAGTGGATCTGAAATGGAAGAGATCTTTCTAGTCAGCCTAAGAAATGTTTTGTCATCTTTATTGCTTAGCTCAAGTAAACTTACCACCCCAACTGCTAGGTTAACTTGCAGTTTTCATTGAAATGCCAAAACCTTTGAGAAAGTTGTTTTAATCTTGAAATATTATCACCAGAAGATTGCATCATGCAGTGGATATAGATATAGTGATAGCTTTGACTGTTTTAACTCTATTTACAGACCAGATCTAGAGTAGGTCTGGAAAAGTAAAAGTACACTAGAAGCTCTTTTGAAACACAGGTATTGCTTACATATGGTCTTGCAAGGAGTTCACTTTGTGGATATTTTTGTGTGTGCACTTTTATATTTTCATGTTGTATTTCTGCACAGTCAGAGTTAAATAAGGATTGCCAGTTTCATTTAATGAAAGTCCACGATAAAAAGGTCAGGTCTTCGTTGCCTAAAAAAAATAGTAGCTATTGTAACTTTTTCAGCTGAATGGGTTAAATATGTTATAGTTCTCTCATAAGATCGTGGCTGTAACAAGTCATGCAATGCAACACTGTAAAGGTTTCCAAAAATTCACAAGCCTCCTTGTATGTGATGCTCTTACAGTGAAGAAGATTCTTTTGACTATAAAGATGAGGAGTCTACTTTTTCTGGTGCTGATTTCTGTCTGCTGTGCTGAACCTCACCCTTACAACTCAAGCCAGGAGCATGAAAGAATTATTCACATTCAAGGTAAGTAACTGTGTCAGAAAATACCAGTATCTTCAGATTGCTGAGGAAAACAAAATAGTGTGCTTAATTTTCCTTACATTTTTATTCTGCTGCTTTTTATAAAAAATACTACTATTACTGGTGACCAAAGCTGTTCTGGTTTTGGTTCTTTTGCATTATTACTACTCCTAAGGAAAGTCAAGAAATTAAAGTTGCACTGTTTAATAACACTTAGTCACAACCTTGCAAAGATTCGTGAGTAAAGTACAGTATGATTTAAGATAAAGAGAAAAAGCATGCATCCTAAAGCAATAAGCAACTGCAGTGGGTTGAAATACCTGTAGTTTATTGTGGAATATATTTAAGAAGGCTATTATGTATAGTTCTTTGCATTACAGGAATTTATTGCTGTTTATTATTTTAAAAGGCTCAGCACATCTGAGATCATAATTGGGCAATCTAAACCAGGGAGGGGATGGGGGGAAAAAAAAAAGAAAAAGTAGCTTACCCTGAAAGAAATATGTCTTTCCTCATACCTTTAATGCACACTAAGTATTATACTGGCCTTCTGCATAATCCTGTTTGGTTCGAATCCCAGAGCTTACAGCTGTAGCAGGATTTGAGTCTGCAGCACAATGCAGCTGTTATTTCAGTCCCAGCTTCAGTCATTGAGGGTCATCCTGCATAAGAAAAAACAGAAGATTTATACAGTAAGGAAAGGCAGAACTAACAGGGATATTCCTGCTTTTATTTGTGTTTCTTCAGGCTGGCTAAAATTAATCTTGCAAAATTAAGAAATACAGCATTATTGTTGTCTTTCTTTTTAAAGTTTGATTCCTTTCTCTCAACAGCCTGGCCAATTATGTTTGTTGAGTGTTTGTGTAATTATCAATTACCAACTTAAGGCAGGTTACTAAGAAAGCCTGAACCTTCTGAAGTTCACAGGAAAGTCACAGAAGTTAAAGGTACCCTGCACCTATTAAAACAGTCACTTGGACTGTCAAGGTCAAATCAGGAGTAACATAGCTGGTTTCACTCTCAGGGAGCTCACAGTATGAAGGTCAAATTAACATGTTTTCTCAAAATGACAAAGTATCACTGTTGTGAGATGGTGAACATGAATGCCCCGGGGTAAATTTCAAAATTTACACCAATATTTAATAAACATATACTTTGCCTTTCTTGTATAATGCATTTTCTCATCTCTGAACTTTATCTTTTTGGAAGATTAAATTAGTGGAAACAATTAATACAACTAAAAATTATTTTTCCTTGGTCTGTGTGTGTTTAACTTGCTTAGTCAGCAGTTTAGTCTAATTTGCAAGTCATATATGTTGCTTATTATGAGTCCTTCAGCATGTGCACAGTGCAGTCTGCAAGTGCTAAATAGTTCAAAGCTGATAAAAATTTCAAGATAATCCATTCTCCCTAACCATGAAAACTCATCTGGAGTTTATTCCTTCAAGAAAAGCTAGATAAAGCTTGAATTTGAGCTGTACCATGAGCTTTGTATGGCAGCTGATTCAAGCTCTGCAATACACAGACCACAAATGAAAAGCAATAAAACTGCTTGGAGCTTGATATTTTTACTATTAAATTTTTTCATTCTTCTCTGCATTGTGGAATCCCATCAGGGCTAGGATTCTGCTCTGCCCAGTGCTGCCTAAATATATATCTAATGAGCAGCACCTGGAAATGAGCTGGGAATCAGCAAAACCTGGGGAACATATGTGATAGAGCTTCATAGAAAAGGTATTTTATATTGTACTTAGGAATGTAACATCCCCCTCCACAGCTGAAATTCAAGAGAGTGTAGCTAAACTCCTCCTGGGTTGCATGCTTTGGAATGCCTTGGAATTACAAAAGGTGCAGATAAATGTGTAGTCAAGTACACAGAGTTGAAAGAATCTCCTGAGGCAATGAACTGAAGTGCCTTCTATTCTTCTATCTCTGGAATCTCCTGTAGGTTTAGTTTCATCTCTAAAAAAGCTGGATTTCAAATTGAATTACTGCAAGGTAGTTTTGGACCCTATTTTCCTGATATGGAAAAACTCTCCTAGTTCTCCATGTTTTTCACAGCCATTGTATGCACTTGCATTTCTCCTAGTGTTGCTCCTTATTTGCCGTTAAAAAATTTCCATCTTTGATGTTCACTTTAAAACATTACTAAAGTAACACTATACCCTCACAGCTATCATTTGAGTAAAATTTTTCAAATTCTTCTGTAAGTGTGTAACCTCCCGTCTAAATAACTGCTAGTTAGTAGTTGATCTCTATACCTGTTTTTTGTTTAAATTCGTATTTCTTGAGTGCATCTAGCCGGGATTTTATTCCAAATAAGATTTTACGCTGGCATTAATATTTTTGTTTTCCAGCTAGCAATGCTTTGTTTTTCACACGTTGGATCAAATTTATACTCTTCCCAGCCATGCTGTAGTGCTGGTTGATAGTCAAGTGTGATAGAAAATATAAGTAGTCACTCTCCTTCATTCTCCCTCATTCTTACTTGCAATTAACAAATATAAGTCTTATATCAATAATTATTAATAACAGGCCTTAAAAGTCTAGATTACACATTCAGTATTAAACATTATCATACTTTTCCCACCCTTCCTTCTTCAAATATTCTACATATCCCTTCTCCTCCCTTCAGTGATGCTTAATATGCCATGTGAAAATTTTAATAATTCAATAGTCACATTTACTTTATAAAGTAAAATCAGTGGAAATATTAAAGAGTCTCAAAAATTATAATGAAGACAATTCACTGGTGTTTATCTAGACTAATCATTTCTGTTCAGCCCAACCAATTTCAGTCTCTCTTGTATCTAGTTCTTAGACGCTTAACAGTGTTTCTAACAACCCCCCTATTTTCTCCATCCTGTCTAATTTCACATACTTCTCATATCACTTTCTTCCCTGAGCTCCAAGCAATTGAGACACCACATTTCTCTGGCCTTATACATTTATTTTTATAATATAGTGACATCATATTAGTCTGACACCCTTTAGTAAATATCTACTGCATTTTATCCGTCTATCTAGCGTCTATTTCTGTTCTTCAACCATTTTCTCCAAACCTTGTTCTAAGGCCCTGTTTGTTGTTGGTATCAGACCAATCAGCTTGTTAATGGTTACATTATTTTCCTGACATATATTTGTTCTTTTGTTGTTGTCCAGAAATACATTCTAAATAGGGTGGATGAGGTATTTATTTGTGCCATGAAGTTTGTAGTACCAAGTGTCAGTAATTAAGGCTGTGAAGTTTTCTACTCTTCTGTTTGAACAGGCTACATTTTCTGAGTTCACATTTCACTTTTATGTTTTCATTTCATATCAATGCACTCATGTACTCTAAATGACATTGTACTTCCAGGGCATCAAAACCAACCTTATTAAAAACAGAGGATTTGTTGATATACCACTTGGGTAATTTCTCTATTGTCTTCCACATTTTTCAGTGTGGTGACTCTATTCTACAAAATGAACCTCTTTGTGTTTAAAAGACTTTTTATGTACTGCTTCACTAAGATCTTTTACAGTCCTTCCTGACATTTTTTGTCCATGCTCTGTTTTGTCCTCATTATTATTATTTCTTCACTGCCTACTAAAGCCACCCCATCATCACCTTTATTGTTCATTTGGTCTTCCTAAATAGCACCACCTATTAGTACTCTACTACAGCCTCTGGTTGAGTTCAGTGTGTTTCTGATTCCCTTTAACAACTCTGTGTCAGGAACCAGAAGATCTAGTTAAGCCACTCTGCTGCCCCTGCATTAGTAAAAAAACTCCTGCCATCTCTCTCAGACTCAGAATTTGCTAACCAGAAAAATAAACAACGGTATTTAATGAATTGTATTGTTCCCTGATTATACTGACAGATCATTGCTTTTATGAGCACAGAGCTCTATCTTTCAAATGTCCACTCTGTTGAAACTGAGGATTTCTTAACTTTACTAAACATTTGCCATCCTCTTTAACATTGCAATAGGCATGCTTTCTTTTAAATCTTTAATTTTTTCTTTGAAATGAGTAGCTGTCTTCATGAATATCCCTGTTCCTGCTGTCACTGTCAGCTCTAGTTCTTTGATCTCCCCTTTTAGGTTAATAGAGTGAAACTGGATTTCAATTAAATTTCCCTTCTACTAAGCAGTTTTACCTCCCTAACCTTTACCGTTATTCCTTCCTGCTTCTTTCCTCTGTTCTGCTTCTTTTTGGTTATACGTTTTCTTCTTTAGTTTTATTCCAATATCTATGAATAAAATGTATGAAATACCTAAAGATGCATTTTATCTCTTCCATGACTTTATTTCCTTTTCTGAAGTCTGTGGTGAGTTTCATGGTTTTGGTCAGGCTGCTCAATTATCCCAGACTACTTGATCATATCACCTAACTCTCTGGCGGTTTGTCTGCACATAAAAGTCATTCCACTTAAACTTTTGTGGATAATTCAAAAGAGAGAACTATATTTAAAGACGATGTGTTTTCCCTCATCCTCCCTCACCACCCCCCTCCTTTCACCCCCGCCCTGTAAACTGTGTGTGCCTTAGGGGATACACTTCTTAGAAAAAATCCTAATCCTAAATTAAATCATCTAGTGACTGTGAAAATGGGACAAAAGTATACCCTAGCCACATAAGTGTCCACAACAAGAAAACAATACTACTCTAAGCATATCAGTGTAATTAAAGACTCAACTTTTCCTTGGAAATCAAGATCTGCAAAGGGCTCTGTGACCCATAAGAGAGGAAGATGATTCTTTTCAGTGCTCAGCTTTGTATATCTCTCTAATCTATTCATAGTCCTAGTTGCTGACCAATTATTCAGGATGCAGAGTACCCTTCAGAGATAACAGCATTTTTCTGTGTGTAGCTATTCTGCAAAATAAACGAAGTTGACTAAACCATTACAGTAATTGCTAAGTTAATTGTGTAAGGGTGGCAGGAGCCTTCAACATATGTGTCCTGTTTATTCCCGTTCTAGAAAGACAAGAAGGCCAGCAAAGAGCATACAAAATTTGTTTTGTGAAGGATCTACCTTTAGATTTTTAGCTTTTTTTTTGGAATAAAAGTGAGTCGATATTACGCAGCACTTCTTTACCTTTCAGATACAAAACCACACCCATTTGTCTATCAAGATCTGTGCACAGATCTATTTATACATACCAAAAAATTATCAACATGGAATGAGCAGAAAACTTTCTAATATTGCCATATTGGGGGGGGGGGAAAGTAAGTTAAATCAATTAATCAGTAATGAAAGCAGAAAAAAAGTTTGCCCAAACTTGTTAGGCATGACAATGAGTTTATTTACAGTCCACTTCCTTTTCTTCAAAACAAGACAGAACCAACAGAGAGAAAGAAGCTGCACAGATTTGCTGGACTAGCCAAAAACGTTATGAGAGATTAGATGAACTACTGAGTTGATCTCTTGCACTATGTCTTATGTTCCAAGTTCCAGGGTTTTCCACTTTCCTTTTGACTTTGGTCCACTTTTCTACACTTTCAATTTTCATTTAAGTTACCTGTTATTTGTTTACATTTTCTTGCATTTATCTTTTCTACTTAAAATTTCTTACTAGCTTTGTTGCCATCCAGGACACTTTAGATTATGTCATGATCCATTTTGCAGTCTCTTCTTAAAATTGAGCTGCTTCTCCCACATTGACACAACTTGTTTTCATCTTCAGAGCAAGACATGTTGCAACAGCATGTAATAGAAATGTCAGCAAAAAACAGCCTCACCTCCTGTTGGCTTTTCTGTTTCATTAAAGGCATTCAGGACTGCATATTCTGGAATAGACCATAAATGATAGTTATCAGTATATTTGGGTTGTAAAAAACTACTACAGAAGCAAAAAGATTAATATTAAACACAAATTTGTCTTTACTTACTCTTCTGTTCTGCTATATGAGGCCTGATCTTCATGTAGTTTCTGTATCTATACTGAAATAAACACATATTCAAGATTTATTTAAGGCAACTGAAGTGATTTCTCTGTGCTATTAAGTCTCCTAGAAACTGAAACTCTAGTTAATATGGCCCCTTTAACAATTTCCTTCAGCATGTTACTCAGGTTGAGTAGATGTTATCAGCTGAAACATATTTTATCTCAAATCTTGTCATGTCTGTGTTGGAGAGACAGATTTCTTCTCTGCTATTTATAAAAGTATTTTTAGCTGTACTATTATTTGCAACCATGCACCTGAACTTTTTAACTAGGATTTATCTAACAGCTCTTATACAAGCTGAATGTTCAAATTTAAAAGTAATGTAGGGGAGCATCCTGTCAGTTTAGAGGCAGGAGCATGGGAGTTTGAAGCTTTCTTTCTTATGACATTTGTGCTTGGGCTAAATAACAACAGCTTTTCCTAGTCTTACAGCTGATATACAAAAACTTTTTTTTTTTTTTTTTTTTTCTGAAAGCAAAATAAAAAAGATAAGATAGTTAAAACATAGTTAGAAAAATATGTAGTAGGAAAAGTATGTGGAAAAAATTATGGGCATAATTCTTCTTTGTGTTTTTTCCCTTCAGATTCTCTGAGTAATACACACATGTGTATATTAATAATGTGCTTCCATACATATTATAACAAGTGGGAATTATTGTTATCACAGATGTTATTTTGGAATTTTAAATAAGCATGTAGGAAAACAAAACATCTCATGTTGTAGGAAGCATGAGGATATTTTAGCTTAAGAGTTATGCTCAGATCCCTGGTAACACTACAGGAAAACAAGAAATGTCTTTGTGTTTATTAAAAGTAGGATGGCATGCGGTGTTGCTAACCTAATGTGTTGCTAACAGTGTGGAACATCTAGGCATGAGTTCTATACATGAATTCATCTGACAAAACAAAAAAAAAACAAAATAAAAATTAATGTGACCAGCAGAAGTAGAGAGGTGACTGTCCCCCTGTCCTCAGCACTGGTGAGGCCACACCTGGAGTGTTGTGTCCAGTTTTGGGCACCTCAATTCAAGAGACATATCAAGGTCCTGGAGTGAGTACAGAGGAGGACAATGAAGCTGGTGAAGGGCCTAGAGAATAAATCTTATGAAGAACACTTGAAGGAGCTGGGAATGTTTAGTCTGAGGAAGAGGAAGCTGATGGGAGACCTCATCAGTCTCTACAACTACCTGAAAGGTCATTGTAGAGAGGGTGGTGCTGGTCTCTTTTCACAGGCAATTAGCAACAGAAAAGAGGGAATGGCTTCAAGCTGCAACAGGGGAGGTTTAGACTGGACATTAGGAAAGATTTTTTTCACAGAAAGAGTGGTTAGACACTGGAATAGGCTGGTCAGGGAGATGGTTGAGTCACCATCCCTGGATGTGTTTAAGAGTTGTTTGGATGTGGTGTTGGTGGAGATGGCTTAGGGGAGAACTTTGTAGAGTAGGGATGGTGTTTGGACTCAGTGATCCCAAGGGTCTTTTCCAACCTGAATAGTTCTATGATTCTATGATTCTATGAAAAAACATCTGTGATGTGATTCCTAACTTATAATTTTTTCCCTGTAAAAATGCACAATTTTTTTCTCCATTCTTGCTCTCTAAATGAGTCCATTACAATGTCAGAATAATCATATTTTGTAGCCAAGTCAACATAAGCTTCTGGACAGTTCTGATGGATAAAGTGCATAAAGCTGTTTGCCAAGGGTCGTGGTGTGAGTCATCCTCTCTGCCCCACACTAAGTTCCTGGCCTTCGAAATTAGGCTTGGCATTACTCTTGAATGTAGAAGCCAGTTAAGAGAGGGGAAAAAAACCCAACAACCCAACACCAAAGAAACACAAAGAAAACCCCACACCAAATAAAAAGAAAAACAAATGTGAGTATGTGTCCAGCAATAAAATTTGGAACTGAACCAATCAGCCAGCAGATGGAACTGAATTGAGAGCATTAACAGCATGAGATCAAGTCCACTTACTTTCCTTGAAATGAGAAGCACACTGAAGTCAAGGTTAGATGTATATAAGATAATGACAACTGGAAAGACCAGTGCTAATTGTTTAGCATTCAGACAAGAGGAAAATAGAGGTTGTGAATAAACCAGAGATGGCTAGCGTGCTGATGCTTGTACGTTATTAAGGTAGCAAGATACCCTTTCACCTGCTTGGTTTGGCACCTTTGAGATACAGCAAAGTCAACTCAAGTATCCAAGTGAGTTTTCGTTTATGGCAGACAATTTTTCCTTACTGCCTGGAAAAGCAGCTCCCAGATTTGTGTGTTATCCCATGCAGCTGGACAGCTTCTGCCACTTGGACAAACTGATTTTTAGCTAGCTTAGCTGTTTTGGCATTATGTTGCCTTTGTCATCCACATAATTGCATAAAAACTGTTAACAAAAGGCCACAGACTGTCAGAATTGACAGAAGCTAAGAAGGAGTAGACAAAATATGGCAAATGAGACACCATTAGTACAGCCTGGTTCTGTACTAACACCAGAGCTGCTGCCTGTCTTCAAGGCCAAATATTCCTGGAAGGTTGAAAAACCCCACCCAACAATACTTTCTGATCCCATTTCTGACCTTGACTCTGAGACCAAAGCTAGTAACCAGGCTGTTGCCTTCTCTGTCCCCAACAGAAGGAGCAGCTGGATATTGCCCAAGACATTACTCACCTCTGTCTGAGGCTCTTGAGTGGCCATGCATATCATCGCTCTTGTCTGCAAGAGATCAAGTGATCAGATCACTATTTCACAACAGATCATTGCTCATCATACTAACCCAGGAAACAAATTCATTCCTCATTTAAGGTGACTTCTGCAGTAGGGAGGCAGAATGCTGCAGCCAGAGTCTTAAACATGTTGTAAGTGAAGTGATTCTGGTTTGCTCTGTGGGCATTTCTTTTCTTGTTGTGACTTCGTTTTTGTTATTATTTTTTTTCCTTTTTAACTTCTTCCCTGTCAGCTCCAGAAAGATTGAGACCATTCATTTTGCCATGCTCCCAAAAAAATATACAGTTTGGTGAACTTGGCCCTGATTCTTGCTGCATGCTGGATAATACAGACCTCTTGGCCTCTTGCCAAACCCCAGTCATCTCATTTTTATCCCTGAATCCCTGCTGCCTGCATGTCTTCTAGCTCAAAAAGAAACTATGCAGCATCCCTCAATCTGACATCAGCTTTTCCTTGAAAGCCAGAGATTCTTCCTTTCTCCTCTCCTAAGTCTGGGAACAGCAGCAATGTAATTTTTTTCCCCATTATCTTGCCAGAGTGAAGGGCACTTAATCTGTCTGTAGAAAAGAACTGGGTATTAGAAAACTTGAGGGTGGAGGCATATTTCAAGTGTTGCATATCCTTTTGAACCTCCAGGAATGTAGAAGGTGTTTCAGGCTGAAGAAAGCCATGCTTTTCTTTCCTTCTCTACATTGCCATCCACTCTGCTCTTTAAACTTACTGAGATATAAACTCAGCTGCTGCAAAGGGTCAGAGAAGGTGGGAAGCAGTCAGGAGAGAGATACACCATTGTGTTAGGATGCTAACACGAGTCAGAGGTGACAGTGCTCTGGGCAAGACTCCAGGCCTTGCTGGCACAGACTAGTAGTTGTTAGAAAGAGAGAGCATTAGCTCTCCTGCCCCAATCCTTTCTGCTAATATTTATTAAGTTGACTACTTTAGTATTAAAGACCAAACATAGTTGAGCTCTGATTCAGATTTCTCGGCAATAACCACCCTAAAGCATAACATTTCTCCTCCAAAGGTGGACAGAAGTCTGTGGAACATCTTAGTCCCTGAAGGAAACAGGGACATTTGCAGACAAACCATCCTGGCTGCCTTCACTGTCTTCCTTCTCCTCATCCTGTGGAAACAGTGTTAGCAACACTTTCCATGGTGCCTTGCCTCAGATCACCTCTCTTCTTGGATTTTCTCCTCTGAAAGGGAGAAGATAGGTTATTGCACCAACCCCAAACCTCTGCTTACCTCTGGGAAGAAGGATAGTGAAGAACAATTATTGGGGGCTGCAGGTGAATCTGCTCTGCAGCAATGATTAAGAACTAGGCAAGAAGGTATCTCAGCCTGGTAAAATAACTTGCAGCACTCAAGCTTGTTCATTCTTGGGGAGGCTGGTGCCCTGGCTAGTCTGTCCTGTGCTCTTTACATGGTATCTCCTGGCAAATAACCTGTTTTTCTTATGCAGATGCACATTTGTGCTCAGGGAGCTTGTCTTTGCAATTACCACCACTGAACATGTTCACATTATCATGAAATGCTGTATACTCTGGAGTTTCTTCTGCTGATCAGTGTAGCCAGTGTGGACAGTTAACAGACTCAAGCTGGAACTGCAGTTCAGGTGAATATATCATTTATCTGGCATTCCT